CCCTACCTAACAGACTCCTGGATTCCTTCCCATGCCCCTCCACCTCCCCACCCCCTTAGGAAGGGTTGGGGATATTTGGCAAGTATCTTAATTTTCATAGTGGTATGTATTTGGGGATGTATGAGGATCAACACACACAAAAAAACAGAGGACCTGGGATATTTAGAATTTCTTCATGGGTGCAAAAAATATTATTAACAAAGATTGAATTTAAAATTAAAATTGAAGCAATTTAAGAAGAGGGGTTTTTTTCTTTCTAGTCTTTTGAAGGAATTTCAGAAGTAAGGAATTGTAGTAAATATACTTTGACACAAGCCAAGCAACCAGTGATGCCCCTACAACATAGGGCAAAACACACAAGCTTGGATTTGTGTTTGGTACTAGCACATTGTGATTGGTACTAGCATATTGTGATTGGTACTAGCATATTGTGATTAAGATTCTCTGAGCACCTTATTTAGCCAAAAGAAAGGAAAGAAATGCAAAGCAAGACAAGGGAGGGAAAAACAGAAGAACTAAAACAAAAATAAGGTGAAGACATCATAGCAACCAACCTCAAACTGAATCTGGTTAAAGGATGCGGCAAGGTCCTGATCTCCCTACTATAATAGCTGTGGCAGCTGAGGTAGTAAGCATATCTTATTTTATTAATGCAGAAAAGATTAATAAAAGAGGAAAAAGAGTATAGAATTCAGTCAGTATAAGTTTCCATTGCCCAAAGCTGTGTATCTGACAGATAGGAAGCCTGGCAGTATGGGCTAAATACATAGGGGTTAGCTTTAAACAAAGTAGCTTTAATACTGGTTAACAGCCATGTTATAGGAGCAAGGTGGACTTGGTGGTACTATGCAGACTAGTATACCATAGTTCCCAGCAGAATAAATTGAGTCTTTGCTGAGTTAAATACTGGTGCAGTTAGCTTGTTTCTGGTACTCAGAATACCTGAAACTTCATACACAACCTCATATGAAATTAGTTCAGGTAACTCAAAACTACTCTGTAACATAGGGTTATTCACAGACCAGCAGAAAGTGATTGGATATTTAAAAAGAAATTAATTGACATTGGAAGTTTCCCAACTTTGGGGGGGAAAAAAAAAGGCACTATGATGAATTTTAATACTTTTTAATTAAATTACAAATTTAGGTATACTTCTACTTTTGAAATGGAAACTAATAGCATCAGGATAACTTAAACATAAAAGAGACTTACAATATAATTTCAATTTTCCTTTCTACTATGAGCCTACATACTATTCCTCATGCACCATAAGACACTTTCTCTTTAAGTGACTCAAATACTAATGGAAAAAACAAGAGCTGCCAACCACATCTGTAAGGCTAGGACTGTAGCCAAGCCCTGCTGGTATAATAGATACTCTGTCACCAAATTGTTTAGCCAACTACCCAACAAACACTCTGCACAAACCACAATAGCTATAGTAGTCTTGAAGTACTGCATGAGGTTGAGTGCTTCTGCAGCTTCATTGTAACCATTATTTTTACAAATCTGGTTTGATGAAAGCCACCAAATATTCAGAAAAAGTTTTAAAAAAACGTAGATATTGTAAATCATGATTCATGCATATTTTTAAACTAGTCTCCATCTGCTATATATTTACAAATGTTATTACCTTGCTAACTGAATAGCTTATCTAGGCAGAAATTACTCTATTTTTAAGCAAAAAACAATCTCTGTGTTAGTTTCCATCCCTCTCCACATTACTTATCATATGTATTCTGAAGTGCTAATTGACACATACTTGCTATCTTACTCACAGGCTTCAATACACATACTCCCTACTCAATGAATATAGCTTCATGGTATTAATATTATTTTGTGACTGCAAGTACATCAGTTCTGTATGCCTTTTTCTATTTTATGCATAACTGGGTAGACTACAAACACTTAATAATGTGAAGCAGAATACTTAACCAGTGTTTACAAGTTCTGGGGCTCACTAAAACTTTCAACAAAAGAATTCAGCTCTGTTCTTTCCCTGCTTGTCCCTATTCAGAAATGGCTTAGGAACATCATCAAGCAGCTTGTGGAATCAAGATCTATTCCATTACAATAGCCCTATTTTCCAGCACATCTGCTATCCACTACTGTGGGTAACCACTTCTTCACTGTGCTGCTCTATCCTTTAGCCTTTGCAGTCCTTACCAGGAGGTCTGAGAATTAAACAGAAAGTTATTGTTCTTCTGAGTGCTATTTTAGCTCATGGATGTGGTCAGACTGTGCTCCTGTTTCTCAGAGTGCTTTCTGTGCAAAAGAATCAAAGGTGTTGAACAAAACATAGGTTACTAAAGACAAGACCTGTCAGCCTAATAAAGCAGGTTCCACTGTCTGGGTTTCAAGATCCTCTGACCTTTCAAGTATGAAAGGAGGTTAGCAGGTAGGTATGGATGAGAACAATTCTTGGTTCATGATCAGTTCACAAACTGTTTAAAGAACAAAGGTGCTGCAAAAAAGACCATCTCATACATGGGTCTGTTCCCCTTCCCATTCATCCTGTACACCTTCTCCCCTGGTTATTGTATTCATTCTGTAATCACACTTATCCTTCACATGAGGAGATCTCATCTAAGAGACCACTTACAGAAATTAAGATCTAGCTGGCCCTACAATGGCATCTCTATTTTTCTTTTCTGAGTTCCGATTATTCCCCTTGAAAACGATACTCATG